AAAACCCATGTGTCCCATCCACAAACCACCGCCACACGCCTTCACTCCACATCTACACCACGCGTGTGACTTTCAATAAACTGTCACCCACCGGCCTCTCCCACACCATGACTCTCACCCACCTGCCTCTCCCTCGCAGCACACGAGTAAATTCCATCATGTGTGTTTGCTTCTACACACACATGAAACGTCCTGACTTTACCTCTTTCTGATACTGACCGGTCAGACGTCCCACCCTCACCTCCGGGGGACAATGACCCTGGAGAACAGCCCTACCCCTCACGGAGGAGGCTGCTCTGTGTGCAGACTAACAGGGCTCTGCCCCCCTGCTCTCAGCCCCCAATCTCCCCCGAGTTCCCTCCCTCCCACCCCCAGGAGGCAGCAAGCAAGCCCAGGAGACTGACGCTGGGTGGCTGCCTGTCCCGCCTCCATCAGCCGCTCTCAGGGCAGGCACAGCCCAGGGCTCCCCCAGCCCCTCCAGGAGGGTCTGTCCTGCCCCTTCCGCCCAGGCAGTGTGCAGGTTTGCAATCCCTTACGCAGGTTTCAGGTCATCCTTCCACAGCTACTGGCTGAGCACCTGCTCCGACCAGTCACAGTTCCAGCCCCAAGAGGCAGCTGCCGCCCCCGGGGCTTTTAGAGTGAGCCAGGCCCGCGGGCAGCAGTCACCCCACACGCCACACCCCAGCCCCACACCCCAGCCCGCGGGGAGTCCACACCGTCCTTTCCTAAGAAACCCTCGCTGAGGAAGAAGCCACACCGCAGCCGGGCCGCGGGCAGAATCCACCGCGACGCCAATCCCGCCCGTCCCGGCTATTTCACGGCCAACAGCCCTGCGTGGGGACAGGGGCCCCGGAGCGGGTCCTACCTCCTTCTTCTCGCCAGTCTGCTCCGCGATCAGCTGGTCAAACACGGCCCCGAACTCTTCGTGGATCTTCTGCATCTCGTTGATGTGACTGGCCACCTTGTTCATGGTCTTGATGGCCACTGGGGGCGACAGGGCGGCGGTGAAGAGGCGGCACAGAGGCGTGGGCTGGGAGCGGGGCGACGGCAGGGGTGGGAGGTGGGGGGCTTTGCTTGCAGGTAGGGGTGTGTGTGTGTGTATGTGTGTGTGTGTGTAGGGTTTTGTGGGCGGGGCTCACCTGGGCCTTGCCTTGGGGA